TTGAAAAGTCTTCGACATTATGATTTCCGGAAGTCTGGCAAACTTTTAGTATCGAAGGAGTTTGACAAACCGGTTGAGAAAAAGGCACTTCGTTTAAAACTGCTTGGTGCAAAAGTACCGAAGCTGTATTATTAAGTTTTGTCAGAATAGAAGGCACGAGGGGGGTGTTCTCGGAGGTTGCTTTTCTGAAATTCAGATTCCAGGCTTTTTTTTTATTTTGTGGAGGTAGTAGGTGGTTAGTGCACTTATGCTTTTGCAGCATTAACTTTCCGCTGTGATGTTTTTGCTTGCTGCGATATGCAATGCTGATGATGGATGTGACGTTTTTTTGGTGCGAATACATGAATGTTGCAATTTCAGGTTGTTGCAAAAGCATCGCCATCGTCGGAGAAAAAAAAGAAGTCGAAGAAGGAGAAAAAACGATGGAAGAAAGATGCGTCCTCTCGAGGAAGTGAAAGCGGAAGCGCTTCCGACTCCGAATCTGCGTCACATGACACTTCTGCTGTCACTCGCTCAAAGGTTCTAAGCTGATTCTTGCATGCTTGTAGCATACGATTAATATTAAGAATTTAGATAGAGCAGGAATAGAATGAACTGCGTATGTATAGATGTAGAAATGTAGCTGATGTAGGAAAAATAAGTGAGTAAGAGTTAAGACATTTCGGTACATTAAGTCATATACGTCTTGGTTCAACACCGTGACTGGACCTCGTCAGTATGACGAAATCCAGTCGTGGTTTTGTGCTAAGTTCTAATTTCTTTGGACTTAAATTCATTTTTAAGGTTAATTTATATGGGTTGATCTTTCGAAACACCGCAGTTTATCTGCATCAGGCAGTCTTTTTGTTTGTACCACTTGGAAACTTGCTGGGAAGTACGTTAATAAGCGGAATTTTGCTGATAATGAGATGAGAACTGAGTGTATGCAGGGAAGATGAGTTTCGCTGTTTGAAAGGATCGAAAATACTCGAAAGTAGTTCGAGTGACAGCACTTTGCAGAAGAAACCACTTTTTCCGGATTATTGTTCAGAGACATTCTTGAGGCGAATGCAGGAAGATGCTACT